CTTCACCGGTCAGATTCTCAAAATGCATCGTAGATAATTTAGGAGCAAACAAAGATAGCCTTCTGGATCTGGAGACGAAACGATGGAAAGTCTTCAATGTCAGATTGGGAATACGTTTCAGAAGCGGCGAAGGGTTTTTTTCCAGATTGAATAAATGGTCGTAATCAAACGCTTCGCTTGAGAACATGAAGAGAGAGATGGAGAGAACACACCGATGTGGATGTGTCAAAGATTGAAGCAATCTGTGGTGAAGAGAGACGAAAGATGTGACTGTTTCGTTGAAGGTTTCGCCATAGGGGATTCGGGAGAGTCACGAGAACAAGAGGACTTTGCAAAACGCCGCGTTTTAAAAAAAAGGACAGATGTCAGTTAAAGAGGCCAGCCACGTGTCAGACGCTGGAGAGTGCTGGCCTCTTTTTATATAGTAGATTAGTGAGAGTTTATGCTCCAATATTAGGGATTAATACCTCTTAAAATCGTCCAATTAAGTCAAATCCATTGTATTGAATTATTTAATATTTATATACATTTTGTGAGGGTCGAGGCTCTTATATTAGAGTTTAGAACTCTTTAATCTTCTTGATAAACTAATGATAGATTTGTATAGAATATAATTTGCAAATAGTATTACTATATAGTATCCACTATTTTAGTTTCCTTTAATTTGATATAAATGTAAATGATAGACATATATACAATCAAAAGGTAATAATTTCTATAAAACAAAATATTATTTTTGCGCTATGGGTGCATTTACAAATATTACAGAAACTACAATAATATGTGAATTATATTTCATATTTTAAAAATTTGTTATTCAGTTTTGTAAAGTTTCAAAACAATGAATTGAATTTTAATGAAAGACTTGTGCCTGCTCTAGAATAATACTATAATCAAGTTTACCCAAAAAATAATATGTGGCATGAAAGTTGTTTGGGTATAATATTTTTTCTTAAAATATACACTAATCACATAACCTAACATTTCAATTTGTTACAAACCAATCAAATTAATCAAATAGACGGTTAGATCTCTTGATTTTCTTATATTCTAGCTATATTGTCTTTTTCTTTCTTTTTCAAACAAAGAGCAACTTTTGTGTATGGTGCTACTTTTTTTAGGAGAAAAACGAGTAATTTTCTAATATAGGAACGATGGTCTCAAGTAAATGGAGTAAACTACAATAATAATATTTTTAAAAATTTTTTAATAATGACATAATAATGTAAATGCCATATGCAATATTTGTAATTGATGGAATGATTAATAACTAAATTTAGTAATTAATCAAAACACTGAAATTTGCATATCTTTAGTAATAAACCAAAATATTCATGAGCTTTTATTTTATATGAAAAAAATTTCATCGACTTTGTATGTATTGATATTCTCTTCGTAATTTATTGAAAGTAAAATAAAAGTTATCTAATAATACAATTAGATGTCTTCGAATGCTTAAGTGAAGTTTAAATTAATATCAAGGTTTTAATTTATTGAAAGTAAAATAAAAGTTATCTACACTAGTACCAGTGTCAATTACAAATAGTTGGGGAATAAATCTAACCATTTTCCCGAATTTGGACATGATTTTGAAGAAGAAGAAACGGGGCCATTAAAGCCCAACTCAAATGAATAAAAGCCCAATTTGTAACCCCTAAATAGCCAGCCACAGAGGCGTGTAACCCTAACTTTTCTCCTTCATCTTAATTTTGTTGGTCGATTCCTCGTTGTTCTGTGTTTCCTCTCGCCGCTCGATTTCTGCCTCCGTCGAGACCATGCCCAGAAATGGAGTACCTTACCACCGTAAGCTCGCTCTCTCTCCCTCATCTAATCTAATCGTGGATAATTGATGAGCAATATCTTGATGACGTTTGGGTTTCTGTTACTGCTTCTTCCTTCTTTGGGTTCAATGTTACATTTTGGTCCGTCAATTAGATTGTTCATAACTTGAATGATTGTTTATTTGCGTTTTCGCAGCGGTTGTTACAAATATCTTCTGGAACACGGACAGTTGGCTCCCCGATGGGTATGAGGATTCTGATCTTATCTTTGGGTCCATGGCGCCTGCCCTCGTAGAAAGGGGTCTCTATGGTCCCTGTGTTATGGTTTATGGTGATGCCGCGAAATTCCCAAAAGAGGTGAGGGATGGGTATTATGATTATGAAGGATTCGGCACTTTTCAAATAACAAAAGGGA